CCCCAAAACCCCAAAACCCCAAAACCCCTTGAAGCTCAAATCAACAATAATAAGAGGTTAGTAATATAATTAACATAAAAAATTAAAGAAATTAACTATCCTTTAATGTCTTTTACACTAAAACGCTTAAAAATTTTATTCAAATCCTTCGACCAATATGGACATAAAATAGATCTAAAATACAAAGATTCTTCAACCTATAAGACAAAAATAGGTGCATTAATATCATTGATTTAATTCTTAGGACTATTGTTATACTTTTTGACTCTGCTTATAGAAATTATAACTCATCAATGAGTATAGGTTAAATCCTCAAAGTACTTGAAGGACTTATTGGATAGTAAAGAGATTTACAAGATAAATCAGAATTAGTTTGATTTTGGCTTGAAGCTTTAATATTATGATGACTAAAACAAAACTAGCAAAATCAATGAAGAATTGGAAACATACTTGACAATGAGTGTTGCAGAAGTTACTTAATAACCGATATAATAAAATGATCCTTCATCTCAGCCCTTAAACAATAATTGGAGTTACAAATATTTTTAATTAGAAAATTGCAATTCTTAAAGATTGATAGGAAATCAAAGTAACACTGAATAGTCTGGGCTATGATGCCCTAAAAATCTATCATTTGAGCTTTAAGGGAATGTTGGAAGTCCATATCGTAAATTTCTTTACATAACTGTATCTTATTGCTCGCAATTCTACTTAAATCTAGTGCATCCTGGCAAGAAATGTAAATCAAGAGAAGAAACAAATTAAATATTATCCAAAACACTTGGAATTTTGGTGCTCAGATAGTAATACCTGGATTTAGCAGAATTTGATAAAAACCCGATAAAAAACACATTATAATTATACCCTTTTGAATTTAATAGGAATGTCTCTTATACTCAAAATAATAAAATTGGGAAGAAGCATATTACTTTAAAAGATTCATGGTTAACAGGGATTTTTCCAGGAGAAAAACATGAGTATCTTAGTATTTCTTCACATTCTAACACAATATCATCTTCAGGTGAAAATTATGATGTAATATCAAGTGTCTTTTATTTCATGGATGATGAGGTTGAAACCATCGAGAGAATCAGCGATACTTTGCTCGATATTTTTTCTCAGGTTGGTGGTATATTGACTTTAACATCTGTAATATGCTGAATAATCACAGCTTATCACCAATAATTGAGTTTAAATGCAAGTTTAATTCGAAAACTATTTTTCTACAATAATAAACGATTTTAAAACCTTATAAACAATACTGAATCAAATAAAAGTCTTGATAAAGCTAAGAAGTATGATGCTTCACTTAAGATTTAAAAGTCAGAACTTTTTGAGAAATCATCCAATATTATTGAATAACTCTAGGATGCAAATTAGCCAATACAATCTTAAATTCAAAACAATCATAGCAAAAATTTACATCATATGAACAATTTAGAAAGCTTGAAAAACTCTAAAGAAATAAAAAATTAAATTAAAATAGACTCATCTCACAATAAAGAATTCTTAAAACTTTCATATAGAAGCAATTAAATTCTGAAAAGATTTAATTTCTCAATAATTGATAAGATTAAATACATATTAAGCAAAATTTTTTATTGCTGTTTTGATAGAAGATAGTTTAAATCTTATCAACTAAAAAATACTTTATTCAGTAATGGGTAGTTAAAAATAAAAAAATCCTTTGATATTTTGAAAATAATAAAGGCTTAGCAGAATATAAGAAAACTAGAATAAGTCTTATTGAGTAATAATTAGAGATTTATGTTAAATTCAATAAGAAAGGTTCTGAGCTTTAAGGTAAAAAAGAAAAGCACACTTTTTGAGAAAATCTAGCAAAGTGATGAGATAATGCTTAATCTGATGAAGGATTATACTTTAAAAGATCATATAGATAAAAGATTGGCAGAGTATATAATGAAGAGTTTTAAATCTAAAGAGGAAGTAACAGATTTAGGCTAAATTGATAAGGAATCTTAGGTTTTGGAAATTGTCAATTAAAGTAACAGCAGTAATTCATTGAATAATTTAACTTTAGAGACATTGATAGTTGATAATCCATTAGATATTTAGAATTCCGATTAATAATTATAAAAGACATAAAAAGAAATGAAAGATTATGATTAATTTGAATAAGAACTTAATGAGATAGATGATTATATGACAAAAAATAAATGAATGAAGTTTACAATTATTTTTAATTTTTATTTAAGCAATTGGAGCATTTTCATAATAAGGGGTTTTGGGGTTTTGGGG